TCCTCCATCACTTGGAGAAGGAATTTCCCATCAGTGCATTCCAGGAACCTCCTGGATTGTTTATGCCCTGCTGTGTTGTGCCTCCAACAGATATCGGGGTGGCTGAAGTCCCCCATGAGGACCAGGGCTTGTGAACATGAGGCTGCTCCTATCTGTCTATAGAGGCCTCATCTGCTCGGCCTTCCTGGATGGGTGGCCTGTAGCAGACCCCCACATCAGTGTCACCTGTCCCTGCCCTCCCTTTAATCCTGACCCATAGGCTCTCGGTCGGTTCCTCATCCATTCCCAGGAGGAGCTCCATGCACTCCAGCTGGTCATTGACACAGCGAGCAACGCCTCCCCCTCATCTCCCCTGCCTCTCCTTCCTAAAGAGCCTGTATCTTTCCATTCCAACACAACGGGATGGACAATTCCATCCAACAGGATGTGGTACCCGGGTTGGGGGATGCGGTACCAGCGGGATGCAATATCTTGGGGAGGGATGAAATTCCTGGCAGGAGGTGATGAAGTACTCAGCGTGGGGATGCGTTGCCCAGGGGGATGTGGTACCCAGGGGAAATGCAGTGCCCTGGGGGGATGCAATTCCTCCCCTCCAGTGCCTGGGGGCATCTGGCTGGGTGTGATGCCCTTGCGGGGAGGCCCTGGGGATGCAGATATCACAATGCTGGAAGCTGGAGCTTGCTGGTCCCAGGCAAACCTCAAAACTGGAATTCGTGCTATGATTCAAGGCCCTGGAAGATCTGCAGAGCTCCTGCAGTTGGATTCTAATTTGCTGCGTGCCTGGGACTGCACTGCTCCCACAGATCCTGCTTACAACAAATCCTCCAAAAACCACCCTATGGCTCATTGCTTGTGGCCTCCTGGCTTCATCTGTCTCCATTTCCTCTTCTCTTGACTGCAAGTCATTTTGTCTTGGCAGTGAGTAGCAGGAAATAGTTTCATAATAACTCTGAAAGGGAAGGAAAAGGGATATTTGGAGGATAATATTTAATGGCCAACTAGCAGTTCTTCATGAGAAGTGGGTAAATTCTCCCTCTGCCCATCAAGGAGAGAGCATCAACCTCCATCAACCTCCCTGGCCCAACCAGTTGACAAACCACTTGACCCTGCCAAGTGTATTTTAGGAAGAGAAACGTACAAGACTGCAAACAAGGCATATACACCTGAGGATCACGACTAGAAACATTCAGGGCCATGCAGATAAAAATGCTGCACCAGTTATACACCAGTTAAGTGATAACCCAGATACCCAGGGCTTGGTGCTTAAATTGCTGTTGATTAAGCACAGTCTTTAATCTATGTACTCTGAACAGGTTGGGATTTCACATGATGAGTGTTATGGAAAGCAAACAGCAGGATAGACTTCACAGTCAGCTTATGCAAGAAATAGTTGAGGGTAATAATACTGGGATTTGGTAAAGAAAATACAGTCTGTGAAGACTTTACACTTCTCTAAGCATTCCTTCAAAAGCCATTGTCCTGGTTTC